AAAAAAAAAAAAAAGTGAACATGATAGAGCTAGAGTGGATTATGCTAAGCAAAATAAGTCAGTCAGAGAAAAATATACCATATGATTGCATTCATCCATGGAATTCAAGAAACAATAAATGAACATAGCCGGGAAGAAAGGGGAAGAGAGGGGCAAACCATAAAACAGGCTCTTAACTATAGTGAATAAACTGAAGGTTGCTGGAGGGGAAATGGGAGAGGGGACAGACTAAACAGGTGATGGGTATTAAAAGGGCTTGTTGGGATGAGCACTAGGTGTTATATATAAGTGATGAATCACTAAATTCTACTCCTGAAACCAATATTACACTATATGTTAACTAACTGGAATTAAATAAAAACTTGAAACTACAAACAAAAAAAACAACAAAACTGAACAAGAAATGAAAACTTCCTCAGACAAAAATTAATAGAATTCATAACTAGCAGACATTACCTATATTTTTGCTCTTTCCTTGCTCCTTCTTTTTCTTGACATTCCAAGAATATGTGTGGTTTTTGTTTGTTTTTTAATAATTTTCTTTTGTTTACAGAACTTTCTTCAGGTATTTTTTAATTCTAATTCTTAGTTTTGCTTTATTGGGAATGACTTGATTTCCCTTTCATTCATGAAAGATCTTTCATAAGACAAAAGATTATGGGTCAACACTTACTTTCTTTCAACACTTGAAAAACATGTGCCATGTCTTTCTGTCCTCCATGGTTTCTAAAGTTTTTCTTTTCCTTTTTTTTTTTTCACCTCTATTTATTCATTTTGAGAGAGACAGAGATAGCTTGAGTGGGGAAGGGGCAGAAAGAGAGAGAGAGAGAGAGAGAGAGAAAGAATCCCAAGCTGGCTCCATGCTGTCACCACAGAGCCAGACGTGGGGCTCAGTCTCATGAATGGTGAGATCATAACCTGAGCAGAAACCAAGAGTCAGTTGCTTAACTGACTGAGCCACCCGGCACTCCTGTCTTCCATGGTTTCTGTAAGAAAATTATCATTCAAGTAGTTTTTTTCCTATATATTAGATGTCCTTCCTCTTTTGGTTTTTCCAGCATTTATCTTTGTCTTTAATATTTAGCAATCTGACTATGATATGTCTTGGCATGAACTTCTTTGGGTTTATCTTTTTTGGGGGGGGCGGAGAGGGGGGAGGTATCTTATTTGAGGTTTTCTTAGTGTCTCAGTCAACTTGTGTTATCATAATGAAATACCACAGAGTGGGTAGAAACAACAGAAATTTATGTCTCACTGTTCTGGAGGCTAGAAGGTCCAAGATCAAGGTGCTAGCCAATTCAGTTCCTAGTGAGTACTCTTCCTGCCTTGCAGATGGATGCCTTCCTGCTAGGTCCTCACATGACCTTTCCTTGGTGTGCACACAAGAAAAGAGAGGTGGTGGGCAGGGGAGAGGTGGGTAGAAAGGAAGAAATCTTCCTCTTCCTATAAGGCCACCAATCCTATTGGATTAGTTCCTCCACCCTTATAACCTCATTTAATTAATTAAATCGCCTCCTAAAGGCCCTATCCCCAAATACAATCACATTCAATACATGAATTTGGGGTGAGGAGTACAATTCAGTCCATAGCACTCAGCTTCGTAAAATTGTAGGTTTGTATTTTTTACCAAACTTGAGAAATTTTCAGACATTTTTTTCTTGAGCTCTTCTCTCTTTTTCTCCTCTCCTACTGGGACTTCAATAACATGAATGTTAGATCTTTTTTATTTTATATATACATAAATTCATATGTTTCTGAAGCTCTGTTCATTTTTTTCCTCCTATTTGCTCTCTGTTGTTCAGATTGGGGAACTGTTACTGCTGTACCTTCTGTCCTCTGTCCTTTCCATCCTGTGTAAAGCCCAGACACTGATATAACTTTAATAGTATTTACTCATTGTATTTTTCAGCTCTAAAATTTCTATGTAATTCCTTTTTGTATCTCTCATCAAGTTGAGGACTTTCCTCATTCTTCATATGATGAGTAATTTTGCATTTTATCCAGGACATTTCAAATATTATGAGACTATGGGTCCTATTTAAACCCTCCATTTTATAAGGCAGTCAAACTGTTTAGGTTTAGAATGCATGTCCTGGCCCAGTTTGTGGGCCATATTTCAAATGTCAATTAGTTTTCAAAGCCTTTGCTGTGCTATTCTGGTCTGCCCCACTTGGGTGCTTCCCACAACAATCTAAAACCTGGGCAGTAGTCCACACATAGTTCAGTTTGCTGTGTTGATTATGATCAGTTTCATGCATGGTCCACTCCAAGGTCTGTCCAGGACTTCATACACAGATTTAAAGAATCTCACTTTCTTTTTTTTGAATTTTATTTTATTTCATTTTATTTTATTGTTATTTTATTTTTTTAATTTACATCCAAATTAGTTAGCATATCGGGGCGCCTGGGTGGCTCAGTCGGTTGAGCGTCTGACTTCAGCTCAGGTCATGATCTCGCGGTCTGTGAGTTCGAGCCCCGCATTGGGCTCTGTGCTGACAGCTCAGAGCCTGGATTCCGTGCTCCCGCTCTCTCTAACCCCTGTTTCAGATTCTGTGTCTCCCGCTCTCTCTAACCCCTCCCCCACTCATGCTCTGTCTCTCTCTCTCTCTGTCAAAAATAAATAAACAAAAAAATGAAAAAAAACAAAAAAACAAATTAGTTAGCATATAGTGCAACAATGATTTCAGGAGTAGATTCTTTAATTCCCCTTACCCATTTAGCCCATCGCCCCTCCCACAACCCCTCCAGTAACCCTCTTTTGGTTCTCCATATTTAAGAGTCTCTTATATTTTGTCCCCCTCCCTGTTTTTATATTATTTTTGCTTCCCTTCCCTTATGTTCATCTGTTTTGTATCTTAAAGTCCTCATATGAGTGAAGTTATGATATTTGTCTTTCTCTGATTAATTTTGCTTAGCATAATACCCTGTAGTTCCATCCAAGAATCTCACTTTCTACTTCCCTTTTCTAAATCTCACTCACTCTCTACTTGAGATGAAATGGCATTTTTTTTGAAAGATGTTTTTAAATTTTTAATGTTTTTATTTATTTTTGACGGAGAGAGAGACAGAGCATGAGTGGGGGAGAAGCAGAGAGAGAGACACACACAGAATCCGAAGCAGGCTCCAGGCTCTGAGCTGTCAGCACAGAGCCCGACGTGGGGCTCAAACTCACAGACCGAGAGATCATGACCTGAGCCGAAGTAGGATGCTCAACCCACTGAGCCACCCAGATGCCCCTGTTTTTTTTTTTTTTA